CCTTCATATTACAAAACTGGTCTTATACGTTGCTTGATTGATCGAACATATAAAATTAATAACACGTGGTTTGGATTTGATAAGGATATAAAAAATCTTTCTTTAGTTTTAAAAAATAATCAATTTTCGCAAAAAGTTATCGACACTGAAATTAAAATTAAAGTTATCGACATTGAAAAGAAAATTAATCCACCTGTTATAAATGCTGTTGATAATACTAATATAAGATATTTTAAGCTTCCATTTATTGGATTTTACTCAAATTTTACTAAAACTAAAATTGATAAAATTATTAAAAAGTATTGTAAAAATGTAATAATCAAATTTATATTCACAACCAATAAATTAAAAAACAGTTTTTGCATAAAAGATCCACTTCCTAAGATGCTTAAATCTAACATTATCTACAAATTTTCTTGTGCTGTCTGTAACGCCAGTTATATTGGAGAAACCCCCAGACATTTGATAACAAGGATAAATGAGCACCTTACAAGGGACAAGCAATCGCATATTTTCAAACATTTAAATTCATCTATTAATTGTAAAACACTAACTAATTATGATAGCTTTCAGATTTTTTCAGAATCTTTCAGATTTGGATACTGCCTCTACCATTAAAAATTAAAAATAAAAGAAGCACTTCATATTAAATGGGAAAACCTTCTTTAAATAAACAAACATCTCATTATATTATAAATTTATCTATCTAACATACTATATTATTATTATTATTATTATTATTAATATTTTAATATTAGGAAGTTTATTTTGTCATAATTTGTAATATAATTTTTAATTGGTTTGTAACAAGTTATTTGTCCGTTAATTTTTTCTCTGTATTGTCTTCAGTTTTTAAATTTATTTTTAAAAATTTTAATTGTAAATTAAATCTTTTGAAAATGTAGTAAGACTACGAAACATGTCAAGAATAAAAAATGTTGTGATTTTTATTATAATATATATATATATATATATATATATATATATATATATATATATATATATATATATATATATATATATATATATATATATATATATATATATATATATATATATATATATATATATATATATATATATATATATATATATATATATATATATATATATATGGAGAAAAAAGAAAACAACAACAAAAAATTTTTATTAGCTCTAGTTTTTGAGATACACTAATAATAAATTTTTATTTCGATTTGCAACAGAGCAATATGATATATAATTTACATATTCTAATAATATTCAAAGTACATTTGGTTTTTTTTATTGCAGATACATTCTAACTGTTTTAAACAAAGAAATTATGATCATCAAGCTAATAGGTATAAAGATAATTATGGGGTATCGTCGGGAGATCATGATCTTTTTACTTTCCTTTTGTAGACTAGTTCTGGAGCATTCCTACATACAAACCAACAGTAATCTGCAAGCATAGCCTCATTCCAACGACCCTGATATCTTTGTTTCATTACAGAAATAACTTAGTAAAACCTTTTTCCGTGTTCATCACTAACAGCTCCACAACTTCAGGGGGGAGGGGGAAGAAGTCTAGGTGTGAGTGAAGAAAATTAATCTTGAGGGACATGTTACATCCAAATTGATGGTATTTTTGCAGAAGTTACCTATTAAATATAGTTATCATCTCTATTGTTGCCTAAAAATCCACAAATCACTCCCTTAAGAGCTTCACAAGTTTCCTTTTCTTGTCCCTTCAAAACTTTGTCAAGTGCAGGATCCTTCATAAATTGACATATTTGTGGGTCAACAAAAATACCCTATAAAAATACCCTTAACTTTTGCATCACTTATTTTTGGAAATTTGTTTCTTAAATACTTAAAAGCCTGTCCTTCTTTGTTCATACCTTTGACAAAATTTTTCATTAAACCCAACTTAAAATGTAATGGTAGTAGAAGGACATCTTTTGAATTCACTAGTTGGTTCAGCACAGTTTAAATTCACAAGTTGGTTCAGCACTAACACTTTTTGCATCTGTGTTGAGATTTCTTGCAGGCCAGTCTTCTTTTATATAATTTGAACTTCTGTCTCTACTGTCCCACATAAACGAAAAGCACCAGTATCTAGTATACCCTAATTGCATTCCTAAAAGTGTAACAGTTACTTTTAGATCACGACAAATTTTCCACTTGTGTTCGTTGTAATTAATTGAGTTGAGGAAAACTTTCATTTTTATATAAATTTCTTTCATGTGAACTGCATGGCTAACAGTAATGTGAAACGTTGACACCAAATTAGAGAAATTTCCACTGCTATAGTCTTGAACCTAGAAGTTTTGCTTTTTCCTGTGACAAGTCCAGATCTCGAACAAGATCATTTAATTCTGCTTAACTCAATCTCTGTGGTATATCATCATAACACAAAATTAGAATCATTTGTTTTCTTCTTTTTCTTTTATTTCTACTTCATTTCTGTCTTCATTTTCTGCCTCTAACTCACAAATTTATAGTGGAGTAGGAACTGGTAAACTATCAGAATGTGGAATAGGTAAAATGGCAGATGGAAGGTTTGGATATTTAACTGCTCCTATTTTCTTTATTGACAAACCTGCCTTAATGGGTGGGGTCAAGCAGAAATAGCAGTCATCTGTATAGTTTTTAGGCTCCTCCATACAATAGCAACAGCAAAAGCTAAAGATATTTTTTTATTTTTCAACCATTCTTATAGTGTAACTGAACAAGAGCTACAGCATATAGTCCCCTACCTATATATGAGGAGCCCGTGGCTTATCCTGGTCCCCTACCTATATATCGAAGTAATGCTGGTAAACAGTTCTTTTCTATGAGGAAATGCTATTTCACCACAAATGTAACAAAAGTTGTCCACTAAACTTACACTCTTCCTTGGCATGTTGGTTTGTCGAATTTTGCACTAGTAAATGAAAAAAAAAAAAGCTTTGAATAGATTAGACCAGAAACTTTAGCAAACACACATAACTAATATCGCAAGTTTTAAACATGAATAAAACATTATGGATAGTCAAAAACAAAAGTATTTATTTTTTCAAAAAATAAAAATCTATACCCTTAAGAGAAAATTTTTGCTTTTATTTCTTAAACTAGAGCTAAAATCCATTTTTAATATCATTTTTGAATTCAGCAGGTGGAAATACATAAGATATAACTGATTTTGTTTCGTAACAATATCACTGTTGGGCAGTGAAGTCGTTTTCATGTTATAAGTTTATGTAGAGTTCAATAAAAATGGCTGCGTATGTACTTTTTGAAAAAAGTATATATTTGTTTGTTTTTTTAATATATATTATTTGTTCTTATTTTAATAGTATATATTAAAATAATAAAAAATAGATTAAAATAATAAAATAAAAATATGTTTTTTCAAAAAGTTTATATGCAGCTATATTTATTGAGTTCTACATATATATATATATATATATATATATATATATATATATATATATATATATATATATATATATATATATATATATATATATATATATATATATATATATATATATATATATATATATATATATATATATATATATATATATATATATATCGTCGGCTCGGGATGCAATTGTCGTATCGCAAATTTATTAAAGTTATATATAAATATGTAATTATCTAATATGTGTAAATTTAACATCATATATTAATGAAAAAAGTTTTTTTTAAAACGTTATATTAAATAATTTATATTAAATAGTTTTTTACATTTACATAACTTTAAACTTACATAAATTATGTTATTGCATATTTATATATAATTTTAATATATTTGCGATACGACAATTGTATCCCAAGCCAACGATATATCAACCCTCAGAATTAGGAAAAATGAGATCAGCAATAATTTGCCAACCTTAATCTTTTAGAGGTCAGCATCAGATGGGCAAAAAAAAATTGATACAAAGGTTGTAATATAAAACATAGAAACAAGGTCGGCAATTATTTGTCAACCTTAAACACTTTTAGATTGGCAGTTAGGTGCTGACCCTAATTCTAAGGGTTAATACTCCCAAAGTAGTGACATGATGCTAAATTAGGTCAAAATAACCGATTACTCATTTGAGACCTTAAAAGTGGCAAAAGATGCTTCTTGAGGCATGCTTTGATGTATATTTCAGTGTTAATTGTTCCTGTAGTTACAAAACAAAAGATTCTTTCACCATATTCACAAATTGCTTGCTAAACTAAGAACTTTTTAGCAAATTTTTCCATTACAATGTATTTATATTTGGAAATCAGTTTTTTGCGATTAATTGCTGAATAATATTGGTGTCCTGGAAGAGACTAATATATGCAGCACAATAAGTTTATCATCAATAATCAAACTTTTTTAGCATATTTTATAATGCAGCTTGGAACTATGAATTGCAACATTTTTATGGTTTTCTTTACAATGAGGAACTTTTTCTTTTTAAAAGAATTAGAGCCACAATTTCTATTCACTCTTTAAATAGTGGAAGCATTTGTCTTAAATTTGTTAGCTAAAGATCGAATAGAAATCTCCAAATTTCTGTCTCTTTCACTTTTTTTAAAAGATCTCATCAACCAAAAATTTTTTTTCTTCTGCTTACATAGACTTACATACATAGTTTTTTCTGGTACATGTCTTACATACATAAATGCATATATGTATATATATAATATGCATGTATATAACTTACATACATGAATGCATATATGTATATATATAATATGCATATATATAAATGCATATATGTATATATATATATATATATATATGTATATGTATATGTATATGTATATATATATATATATATATATATATATATATATATATATATATATATATATATATATATCATAATATGTATATATATCATAATATATATATATATATATATATATATATATATATATATATATATATATATATATATATATATATATATATATATATATATATATATATATATATATATATCAATTATTAATAAATGTCACTTTTTGCTCATTTTTTTTTATTGTAAAGTTTTAATTAAAACTTTTAGAAAATGGTAATGTTTACAAAATCAATGTTAATAATAACGAAGTCTCTCTTTCTCCAGCTATTGTCAATCCATTTGTGAGTAAGTTTTGGTTTTTGATTTAAAAAAAAGATAACAAGTTATATTTAATTTTTTTTTTTTTTTTCTTTCTAGGATTCTTCAAAAAGTATTCTATCTCTTATTTTGCTCAATGTAGGTTATGTTGTTTATAAGCATCAAATTTTATATATTTTAAATATTATACTTATGATTATTTATTATAAATATTATAATATATTATTTTATATATAAAACATTGTATAGGTTATGTTATTATATAAATGCTATTTTTTTTTATCCATTTATTCAACCAAAAATTAAAAATTACAAGTTTTTTATAATTTTACAAAATTAGGTTAGGTGTCACTCATATAGTTAAAAACTAGTCATTGGAGTGACACCTAAATAAAATAAACAAACAAAAAAATAATCTTATAATACATTATTACTAATAGCAATAATAATGAATAAAAGCATGCGTAAATTAAATTGATTTAAAAATAGTAATAAAAAGGATAAAGCTATAATAAATTAAATAATAAGATAAAAAATATGAAAACACTTAATAACAACAGCAAACAAAAACAAAAATAGTTAGCAAAACAGCACAAATAAAAACAAACTTTATGTAAACAAAAATGCAAACACAAAAACTTCAAAACGAAAATGAAAACACAAAATCTTGTACAAAATAAAATTAAATTAAATAATATTAACAATCTTATGTTACTATAGCAACAAAAAAAAGGTGTAGAGAAACTTGTAAAATAGAAATACAGCGAACAACAATAAAAATAATTAGCAACAACAGCGCAAATAATAACAAACTTGATGCAAACGTAAAGGCAAAACACAAAAACTACAAAATGAAAGCAAAAACTGCAAAGCGAAAGTTAATATTATGATTGTTACTGTGATATTAATTGTAATAATTAGTATATTAATAATAGTTAGATTCTTATTACTATGTGGCAACTATAAGCAACAACAATTGTGTTAAAGTAATTAAATTTAATTGTTTTTTTTTAAATCATATTTTTGTTTTGTTTTTGTTGCTTTTAATTTAGAAATTGTAAATTTAAAATTTTTGGTTGCTTATTTTTGTTTTATTTTTTAAATTTTATTTTTTTGTTTTTTTGGGTTGTTTTTTTTAACTATTATTTATACTTACACCAACTGACTCAAATATTAATTATTTAATAGGGAAAACATGCAAGGAATATAAATACATAGACTGAATTTAATAATATGCAAAGAGTTTGCGTACATTGATTCAGGATTGGCCAACCCTAACCCTTACTCTAATGTAAGTAAACTCCGTATTTAAGTCAATCAATGTATGTACACTCCCTGCATGTTCTGTTTATTTAAGTCAGTTGATGTATGTCAGTGGTGTAAGCTCAGGTTATTGACCAGTCACCTAAAATATTGCTCATGTAGACCAGTAATTTAATTTAATTTGACACCTTTTATCAACCACAGAGGAAAAGTACCAAAAAAATCACTTTAAACACTGGGATACTAAAATACAGCTAATAAGAAACTGTTTAATTAAAAATAAATTGTTTTATAAAAAAATAATTAATTATTCTCACTTGATCTTTAATTAATTTAAAATAGTTGAAATGTTTTTAATATAATTTAAAATACAATGACTTCATATTAAAAAAAAAAAATTACAACTGTCTTTTGAAAAGAAAAATTATATTTCAATTGAAAAGAAAACTTAATTCAAAATGCTACTATGTTTTAAAAAACATAGTTACACATTGAACCATTTTGAATCACGTGTTAAATTTAATTCAAGTGGGTTTCTACATTGTATATAACATTAAATTCTGTAAAGTTATATACAGAATTTAATGTACTTTCTTTTATTAAAAGATTTATTATTTCTTTAAAATAAACAAGGAATAAAATCTTTAAGTTCAAAATATGGTTTTATTATTATCCACTCTTTTCTAAGTAATAACTGCGCGATCTCTTGTAAGTCAGTTAGTGTATGCACTCATTCATAAAATCAATTGGAAATTGTTCACAACCCAAAAGATCATTCACTATGCCAAATAACAAAGTTCACTTTGTTGTTTGGCATAATGAAATGTAGCAAAATATCAAGATTTTACCTCAAGGTAAAATATCAAACAGGAGGCGAAATTAAGATAGATATTATTATCTTAATTATTATTATTAATAATAATAATAATATTATTATTATTATTATTAACATCATTTTTATTATTAATAATAATAATATTATTTTTATTATTATTATCTTCATTATTATTATAGTAAAAATATAAATATAAAAAAAGTGATAATAAATAAAATATAAATAGAAAAAAGAAATTAAATTTGAAATAATTTAATAAAACTTTTTAGAACACTCTTTATGTTGGAGGTGTCAGTGGATTTGCTATGTTTGATATATCACTATTTGAAAAAGGTATTTGTTTATTTTGATCTATTTTAAAAGTTTTAAATCTTTTTTATATATTTTTTTTATTTTGATAAAACATATTTTTAAGTAATCTAACTTTTATTGTTGAATATAATTTTTTTTTAAAATTAATTCTACATTATTAATTGTACAATTACGCGCACAAATATACATATGAATATATATATATATATATATATATATATATATATATATATATATATATATATATATATATATATATATATATATATATATACACCGGTGATTTAAATTTATAAATTTGTTAAAAAATTTTATAATTATATATAATAGTTTTATTTGTTATTTAATAAGAAATATATATTTATATATCAGTCTTTCACAGGAAGACATGCGATCGCACGTCTATATATGACCAGTCAGTTTACATTATGCTATGGGAATTTGGCCGTGGCTATTTCAAAAAACATTTTAAAAACATGCTAATTAAAAAATATTTTGAAAAAGTGAAATTAATTACATCAAAATTTCTTAACAAATGTTTTTATATTAGCGAAACGCTTTTAAATAAAGTAACAATTTACTGATGTTTTTTTTATAATATAATTGACAGTTGTATATATTTTTTTAATTTATAATATATAAACTGTTTAAATGTGCATATCTATAATAAACCTTATTAAAAAATAAAAAATTGTTTTGTTTTTATAAACGATGACATTCTTAGACGACGAAAGTCTCTTTAACGAATTTTAATATAAAAATAATTAAAGTTAATACATTTAAAAAGATTTGTCTTTTTTTTTTTCACAAAATTTTATTGAAAAAAAAAAGACAAATGTTTTAGAAAGCCGTTACAATTAAATAAGTTTGATCTCAAATGCTTTTATATTATCGAAACAGTTTTCAATAAAGTAATAAAACACTTCTAATTAATTTTTAAAATAAGTATTAATAAACTGTTGTTTTTTTTATTTATATAATTATGTATTTTTTATGATAAATGTTTATCTTTTGAAACATTAAATAAATAAAAAACAAAGTACAAATGTTATATATTTCTGTGTTTTTGCTTTAATTAAGTTTTTTTTTTTAATTTTCTCTTTCGTTAAGATTTTTTTTCTTTTTAAAGTTTTTTTTTAGATAAGTTTAGGTAAGTTTTTGTAGCGCATTTTTAAATTTTAAAATTA